GGGGGGGAGAACCCGGGAGCTTACAAAAGCGCATGCGCAACAAGAACGCGCGCGACTGGCGGGGCGGATAGGGAGGCGGTGCGTCTGCTCCGACCAAACATTTGATTGGCTGCACATTAGAAATGGTGGCTGTGCCTGAGTGGGCGGCCAGGAAGCAGCTGTGGCGGCGGAGCGAGTTTCGGTTCCTCCAACCTTTGGTTTCAACCTAAAACACTGAGCTGAAGGAACTTTCATATCGAACTCCGCTCCGCTCTCAGCTCAGCTCTGGAGACCTCCCGGCTGCGGAGCTACTGCCGTGGCTGCAGCCGTAGACTGCTTAAACACGCCGGAGATGGCGAGTCGGAGCCTGGGGGACCGCGGAACTGACCCCGCAGTCGCCTCTAGTGAGCTCCCTGCCCCAGGCCGATCGCGTGACCTTCGGCAAGTTATTGCGCCCCTTCGGCCTTCGCTTCCATCGCTCGCTAAACGGGAGGGGGGGATAGAAAGTGCACGGGCCTTTCTGCCCCACAGAGACGGCGAGGCCCGGAGATGAGTTCCTGGGAGCGTGGGCTGGAGCGCGGGCATCTTCCGGTGGGACCAGCCCTCTCTCTTCCTGTCCAAACGCCTGGGAGCGGGGAGATCAGGGGGGATTGGCAGTGCAAGGAGAGGACACTCGGTTGGGAGCATCTTCGGGAGCTGAGTCCAGGTTTTGTATTGTACTGCTAAGCTGCCCCAGAAATAGTTTCTGTGAGGCAACAGGATCAGAGCCTCCCGGTCTCTCATGGAGCCCTTGTCTAAGTGTGATCACGGGGCCCAGGTGATGTGCCTCCTTTTTTCAAGTTTTCTTCCCCAGAGGTTGAAGGAGATAGGAGCCGTTATCTAGTTTTTTGGCAGATGTAGAAACGAAGCTTTGAAGAAAGTGAGTAAATGTCAGAGCTGGGACCTGGACCCAGTTTGGTGACCTCAGCATCTGTATTGTTTTCACCAAGATTTTGGTTTCTTGATTTCTAAACATTTGAACTACATCGTTTCATTGGATCTCAGCTGGCTCTCCCAAATTATTTTACCCCAAATTACATCAGAATGCCTGGATTGGGATTTTAGTTAGTCACTAGGGCTTGCTCCCCATATACTATTTTTAGAAAAGTTGGCTTAGGTGATCTCTGAACCAGAACACATTAAAATATGTATGACTTATAGATTAGTATACACCCTGCTGAAGTTTTTCAGTAGGAGTGCGGATATTAGACTTCAAAATGTTCACTGGGAAAATACTAAAAGACCATGGAATTCCTCCACAAAATCTTTGAAGCCCCTCCTCTTAGGTAGACCTGGGTTTGGGTTTCAGCTTTACAAGTAACCTTCTTGTTAGTGGGTTTTATTAATAAACAGAATAACTCAAACTCCCTAGCTTTCAGGGTCACCATGAGGATCAAGATTGGTGGAAGATTGGAAAATTCTGTATCAGAAATGATTTACCATTTGAAGGGTTACAGCATCTAATGAAAGCCACAGGACACTCTTGCCTAGAAAAATGTACACATAAATAAAATTTCCATCTCACTGGTGTGGGGAGGGAAGTGTCTCACTGATGCTTAATCAATTCTGTTGATCCCAGGCTAAGAGTTCAGATTGATTCATACTCTTAAACGTATGCCAGCAAGTATCACTAGGAATCTTTATTAAAGTCATTTTCATTGATTAACCGAAAAAAGTTTCTAGCAAGTAGTTTGAGCTTTTTCATTGTGCAGATAATGCCAATGAACTCCATGTTGTTGTTGTTGTTGTTGTTGTTGTTGTTGTTAGGTGCCATCGAGTCAGTTCCCATGCATAGCAACCCCCTGTACAACAGAACTCGAAGCACTGCCGGGTCCAGCCCCATCCTCGCAGTTATTCTTAGGTTGGAGAGCCCATTGTTGCAGCCACTGTGTCAGTCCATCTTGTTGAGAAACTGAAGATAGCTTTGCTCCACTGCAGCAAGATAGTTGATGCCTTTACATGCTTGTCCATTGTGATTTCAGTCTCACATTTTATCTAATGACTCCAGGTGCTTCCTGCTCTGTTACAGATTGAAATTTTTAATAAGCAGGGGTGAATAAATTTTAAATGAACTGTCTACTTGCATGTTGTTTTTCAGTGAGGAAGATAGTGCTCCGGCATCAGGAAGAATGAGAGAAGATGAGAAACAAAGGGTGATAAAAAGTGGCAGTGAATGTAATCCCCTGCTCCCAGAACTCATTGCTTCTGCTCACTTGGGTGGTACTGCAGTGACACAGTGCCATAAGTCTATCCCCTCTGGTTGGGAACGAGTTGTGAAGCAAAGGTTATCAGGGAAAACGGCAGGAAGGTGTGATGTGCTTTTTATCAGGTGAGCATGCAAGGTGGTAACAATTACACAGCCAATGTGGTATTTTCTAGGCATGTAGTAGGGTAGCACAGCAAGAATCTTGGATTATTCCTGTTTTTAACCATAAAACATTGTGGATTCTATGCCTTCAGTGTCACTGGTTAGTTATAGCAAATGATTTGGGAATAACTGCAGTTTGTCCCTCCTACTATAAGGATCAGGAGAAAGATGGGCTGTCTACTCCTTTAAAGAGCTACAGTCTCAGAAATCCATGGGGGCAGGTCTGCTCTGCCCAGGAGAATCCCTGTGAGTCAGAACTGACTTGATGGCAGTGAGTTGGAGACTGTAAGGATGAGGGCTTCAAACGTTCATGGGAAAATTCCATTTTTCCACAACTATGTGAAGCCCCCCTCCCCGCAATATTTATAAAAGTATCCAGGGTTACTGTGAGTCAGATTGGTCAGCAGTGGGTTGGGCTGGGTTGGCTCTCATGGGATGATTGGATTGAATATAGGGATAAACCATTTAAAAGTACCATTTTACCACTGTTGTTTATTTTAAATGACAACTGTAATACCCATGCCAATATTTAGAAATTATTAATTGCAAGTTTGAAATATGGTCCATTTCTTTTAAAAAGTCATTTCTGTTTATTAGCAATAAGTTTTCTTTAATATTTTCTAGCCCTCAAGGACTGAAGTTCAGATCCAAAAGGTCACTTGCTAATTATCTTCACAAAACTGAAGAGAGTCGTCTTAAACTGGACGATTTTGATTTTGCTGTACTGTCTGAAAGGAACATCAAATCAAGCAAGGAAGCGCTCTCATCCCAAGTGCAAAAGGAATGTGTCGATTCAAACTGGAACCTCAGGACCAAAAGGAAGCCGAAAAATGATGTGGTTTTTCTCCCACGTGATAGTTCAGATAGCACCGGACTTTCTAACCCTGCTCCCATTCACTCATTGTTGAAAGAAGATGAAGATGTTAATGATGTTAAGCCCAGAAAGGTTAGAAAATCGAAAGGAAAGATGACTATTATGAAAGGAATTCAAATTAAGAAAACCAAAACAGGGTGCTGGAAGAGTAGTCTGTCGGGTTCTGTTCAAAGGAGGAGGACAAGGGGGTCTCTGTATACCACAGCAGATGTGGAAGGTGAGCCTGCTGCACAAGAGAGTCAGCCCGGCACTTCTGATGCCCCAGCTAGGACTGAGAGCCCAGCTGTGACTGATGAGGAAAGGGGACCTGTCCAGGAGAAGCCGTTATCTCCCAGATCACATGTTCATTCTGGGAAACTAACTTCAAACAAGACAGAGCACAAGAAGTGTCAAAATACCTTTCTAGACTCTGAGGAAATCAGAAACAAAGTAGAAGTTAGAGAGAAGAAACACTTACATGTTGACATCAAATGTGACTCTGAGCCAGACAATTGCCACTCACAAGCTGAGAAAAACTTTACTGCTGTGAGGATATTTCAAGGTATCCATTGCTTTAGAATGTTACTAAGCATTGTGTGATCAGGACTTTACTCCCCTGGATCTTGTATGGTTAGGATATATGAATGCCGCCAGGAAAGGAGGCCAAGTACCGCATCCACCCCCCTGGTCTCTCTTGATCCCTTGTCTAACTGAACTGTGAGCTGTCCCGCTGATCTTCAGGCCCTTTTCTGTGGCAGAGAAGGGCTCAGATGCTGCTACTTCAATGGCCCCAGCAAAGGAGAGTTGTGTGGTTAGCAGCTACTGCCCTCTCCGGTGCAGCAGCTGGCACTCTCCTCAACAGTGCGTTCCTTGCCAGCCTCTCTCTAACCTGCAACAGCCGCTTTCTAACCTACAACCTTAAAACCTGAAGGAAAATTTTACACACTTGGTCAAAGATTTAGGGAGGATGATGCCTTTTATGCATAGAATGATCAGTGTCGTCTCTTTGTACCCCTACTGTTGTTTACGACTGATAAGTGATGTCCAACTTAATTTTGCACATATCGTCGTCATTCTTATATTCAATTATAATGTATGCATATCTAAAATGCTTTAGAGTGCTAAATAATTCAAAATTATAATCACCCAGTTCATCTATTATTTGTAATATGCTCTTAATACAGAGCTGAAAGCTTAGCAGTTTTGCTTTTATAATACCTTAGTGAATAAGGTAAAAAGGAGACCCTTTGAGCAGCCCTGTATTAGTTATTCATTATGCCATTAAGGTATAATGAATAACTCCTTTAAAGAAGAATAGTAATTTTGCTTAAAATCCTATAGGGAGCAGCTTAGGCAAATTGGTAGAGCAAGGGTTTAGGACTTATTTCCTGCTGTCAAACTCACCTGTGATTTTGTCTGGCAAATTGGTAGAGCAAGGGTTTAGGACTTATTTCCTGCTGTCAAACTCACCTGTGATTTTGTCTTTTCTATCCTCAAAATTTATCTGCTTTTATCAAAGAAGGCCCTCTGTATCTAGGAGTTGCATAAGACTTCTTCAAGCCTCTCCTTTAAAGACTGGAAATGTTAAAGCTGTAGGCTTACATACACTTATTGCTACGATAATGGACAAATTAAATATTAAAATCACTCTTTTGCAACTAAAATGGGAAGCGTCCTATTCATCCAAATCAGAAAGAGGTGATGTTCTCATCATACATTGAGATAATATTTGTCAAGTGAAATAGTAAAGACTTTCCATTGACTTAGCTAGAACTTGCCAAATAAACTGAATTTAGGTCTCTTAGGGACAAAGGAGCCTAGTTTATTGGAATTTATAGGAACCCACAGAGGAAGTTATCAGCAAGTAAGAGCCATTTCCTTTATTGTTTTTTTACTTTCCACTTGTCTTTACCTATTCAAATTAGAATAGCAAAACGCATACACATACACACAACTTATTATCTGCACTTGATCATAGCCAAAGGCCAAGAAGGGACACACATGACTAATTATCTGGAGACCCTGCATTCTTGTCCCACTCTTGTTAATCCAATTTTGGAATAGTTGCTTAATTTCTAAGATATATTTTCTTCATGCTGAAAATGGAGATACCACTCATTCGCCCTGTGTGCCACATCAAAACAACTACAAAGTAAAGAGAGAAGTGAAAAGGTCGATTTCACACTGCACAAATACAAGATATTATTAGCCGACATTCAAATGTAGAGGGCGTAGCTAACAGAAGTACTAACTGATGATTTTAGAAACTTGGAAGTCTGATAACGTTATCAGTTGAATCAGTCTTTGTTGAATTTACCTGAGTTTCCCAGTTAATTGTAGTTAGAGATGATTCCATGGTCCAAATTTAGGGTTTTCTGTTTTGTCTACATCCCTTTGTTGCTAAGTATGTTTATTGCAGAAAATTTTGGGGGGGGAAATCACTGCTGAGTAACAACTATTCAACTATTTTGATTTATTTCATTCTAAGCTCTGTGGCTATCTCCTACCCCCCAAATAATAACAGTGAATTTTGTGACAACTGGAACTCACTCGAATAGTCTTGATTTTCTAGATCTTCGGTGCATCTTGCTAGTTTTTAGTGGAATATATTTACACATTCCCATTTTTATTTCACTGTATAGTCTCTTGCATTTTTATTTAAAAATTAACATGGAAGAATATTCATATGGCCTCAAAAATATTTTAATAACGGCATCAGACAATTATACCATAATTTAAAATATTTGGTATTTCAATTTTTTCAATCCTGTAAACACTGAACAGAAATCAGAGAACTGGTATAACAGTGGTGATAAAGGCATGCCTAAGGAGTCAGACTGCCTAAATTTGAGACTTAGTAGCTGTGTGACTTTGGGCAAGTAACTTTTCTGAACCTCAGTTTTCTTTTATTGGGGGCTCATACAACTCCCATCACAATCCATACCTACATCCACTGTGTCAAGCACATTTATACATTTGTTGCCCTCATCATTCTAAAAACATTTGCTTTCTACTTGAGCCCTTGGTATCAGCTCCCCATATACCTCAATTTTCTTGGTTGCAATGTAGACATAAAAAAGTACCAGTCTCGGTCCATTAGTAAGCAGGTTAACTTGTGTAAGATGCCCAACACACACTAAGTGCTTTACAAGTAGTGTTACTGTTGTTAATGACTATAAATAGTAATCACTTTTCCTTTACAGAAGACATGCCTGTTCCACGGACACAAATAGAAAAAAGGAAAACAAGCCTATATTTTTCCAGCAAATATAACAAAGAAGGTAATCCTGTCATAATCAGAAGAGCAGGTTTTCAGTGTTTGTTCAGGTGCTCAGCTCTAATGCTGTCTCTTTAGCTCTTAGCCCTCCTCGACGAAAAGCCTTTAAGAAGTGGACACCTCCTCGATCACCTTTTAATCTTGTTCAGGAAACGCTGTTTCACGATCCTTGGAAGCTCCTCATCGCAACTATCTTTCTCAATCGGACCTCAGGTCTGTGAATTCTTTTTTTTTTTTTTTCACTCTTAGTAAAAATGAGCCATGAAAGGGAATGAGCAGTAAACTAATTAAGTACCTGGTTCAAGTTCACTTTTGAGTCTGAGACCTAGGCAAAGGCTGCCTTGTTGGTCCCTAAACTTCACCTTTGAGAATGTTAGAGTAGGTGATTACGAATTTTTTTAGCATA